GGCAGGAGAAATGAAACGACTGTTACAGTCATTTATCCAAAAAATCGACGGTAAAACCTAACTAAAAACTGCACACGACGGCCGAAACTACACATAGAACGTTTCTTTTTAGAAAGGCTATTTGCTATTTGTAAATAACAGACCTATTCCCACTATTCGCCCAGCGTGTATAAATAGCAGATCTATTCCCACTAGTTTTTTTTTTCCATTAATATTAATATTATTACTTCATTATTGGTGTATTAATACTGTATTATTATCTGTAACCAGTGTTAATAAATAAATATATATTCGCCTAGCGGCTAAATTTGTATAAATTTGAAAACAGTTTTGGAGAGAACTGACCAATCACAGTCCCTCATCCTCGTTGAGTGTACAAGTATATGTTTCAGAATATTTTGATTGTGTCTGATTCATAAATCATCCCAACTTTGTCAAATTGCCCATCCATCTAGATTGCAGCATTATATTTAAAAGATTGATGACTCAAAAATAAATGATTGGCAACTGGAGATCAACTTTCTATTTACTAGTAGATCATGCTCATCCATGTTGAACGTACAGAAATTTACAAATTATATAGACATATTAAATTATATTCAGTGTAAAGCAATGGGCCCTGTCAGTGTTTTAAATAAATGTCTTCATAGAAATTAGCATTGTTTCCACTGCCAACAAATTGAACTTGGTGAAATAATTAAGCCTCGAGAATAGAAGAAACCGATGCTAACTGGGCTCGAACCAGCTACATAAAAATAAAGTGATCATGACATGTAATCCTATTACGCCATTGAATTTTGCATTATATAGGGCCGTGATGGGCGTACAATGAAATAAAACGACGTTGGCGATTGGTTAGAGGAGTCAAGAATAGGAGAGTATGTTTGATTGGCTGTTTTTCTGCTGTGTAAATTGTATGGAAATACGCACAATTTACACCGCTGCTGGGCAAATAGCCATTCCGCATTTTTAAAGTACCGACCCACGTAATGAAATTCATGTAAACAATTCATCCGGTCCTTCTGCACCGCCTCTGCTATTTAGAAATGTAAATTTGTATGTTTCGTAATGATGTTTTTAAAAACTAAAATGCACACACTTTCTTACTATTTACATAGTATTGCAGTTAGCTGTGACACATAAAGGAATTGTCGAACAACACAAAATAAGCTTCCCTTTTTACTGTCCATTGTGATCAGTACAGTTATTGTTTACCAGTGGTTTACACATTTGCATAACAATGGGTTCAACAACACATCTCTGGTTTGATTCAAAGCTGCATTGAGTTTTTT